GATGATTACGACTTAAGAAATCCTAAAAGTCACTAAGAGAAGTAGGCAGTAAGAAAGGAGAGGATAGAGCAAAAGAAGCCACAGAATGGAGCTGAAGATACAAATAAGCCACAGGGATTTCAGAAAGTATTTCTTTAGTCTCCATACACAGGTTCAAAAGTGGGTATGACACCCAGGGAGGCTAGAAGTCAGTAGGTACCAACAAATACTAACGCGTACAACACGGTGAAGAGTTGACAAATAAACTGACGTTTCGGTCGACTTGGACCAATAACAGTAGTTCAGTCTAACCAAAATGTCGACGCTACTTTCTTTCTCCGAAGTGCGAATTATCTGTGTATTGTTCCCGCCACAGTATTGTGCTTGTGTTATTCTTTAGGGTGAAGAGATCGTGAATACAAGGCGACAACGCCCTTATCATGAACTACTACAACAGCGACAACTACAACAACAACTACAGCGACAAGAACAATAACAAAACAACAGCAACACGTATCAATACACATTAGTTTTTCATCCTCAGACCAGACAGATGACAACAGCTTCGGATTCTCTTCTGAACATGATGCCAAAACTAGTTTGAATACCACCTTAAATATTTCATTTTCAGTAAAATATTGGAGTGTAATATCAACAGCAAAAAAAATTAGTATTCAGATAAAAACATGCTATTCATTTACGACAAATTTCAACTATTTTGATATGGAAAGACTCAGAGTTGAAGACGAACACAGTGTAAACACAGTATAGACGAACACAGGCAGGCCACGTCACAGAACGTAGAGATCAAGTAAAATACTTAGGAGTAATGATGTCAGAGGATCTCTCAATTGGAGAACATCGTGAAGTAGATGCAGCAAAGGCCAGGAAAATAACAGGGTGAATTGTGAGAATGCCAGTAATGGTACTGTTGAAATCACTGATTCTCTCTGTGGCATTGTTCAGTGTTCACAGCGCCTTCAAGGCAGGAGAGAGAGCAGTGCCGGAAGATGTACAGAAGACGTGTACTGCCAGACTATATTTATTAAAGCATCTAAAATATAAGAACCATCTCAAAGCACTTGGCTTGTTCTCTCTGGAGCGGAAAGGAGAGAGAGAGATACCTGATAATGCATACATGGAAGACCCTTTAGTGTTTGGTCCCTAACCTAGTCACTGCTATAATAACTTACTGCCGTAAAAGATATGGGAGGAAGTGTGGAATAAACCCAGCGATGGGCAGGGGCGTCATGGATACATGAGGACACACGTAAGTTACCCTGTCTCCTAATACCATGTTTATTTCTCCATTCTAATCTACCTTGTCCATAATTACTATTGCATTTGCTTTGTCTCTTTCGTAAGATAAAATCCAGGATCTTTCCTTAATTTATGGTATAACTTAACAAATCTTTGAGAACAATTGTGTTGCAGATGTCCGAGCTTTGTTGCAACACAACTGTTCTCAATCATTTGTTAAGTTATACCATGAATTAAGGAAAGATCTTAGACTTCACCTTACCAAACAGACAAAGCAAATACAATAGTAATTATGGACAAGGTAGATTATAGTGGAAAAATAAACATGATATTTGAAGACAGAGGAGCTTATGTGCCCCTTAAGAGAGCACTTTATCAACATGCGTGGTCCCAGACTCTTCACCATACTACCAGCAAATATCAGAAGTATTGCGGGAACTACGATGCAAGTTTTCTAGAGGAAGCTGGACAGCTTCCTACTACAAGTGATGGATCAGCCGGATATGTGAGCCTGCTGCCTTCTAGCACACACCACAGCCTGGTTGACCAGGTGGTCAGCAGATGAAGGTGGCCTCAGACGAGGCACCGAAGGTAAGCGAATCCTTGCAACGGTATCACCTGGTTTGTTGTAGGCCTCCGTTGTAACACTCTCTGTTGTTGCTCTCTGTTGTCGCCCTCTGTTCATGACTCTCAGATGAAAAATTAATTCCTAGTATATTAAACACACAAACAACGACCTTATTATTTATATTTATTGAAAATAATAATTATTTAACAATTTATTAATTCTATATAGAATTTTTTTCTCTACTAAATATAAAAAATCACACGTTTGTGTATAATAATTTGAAATGTATTAATAATAATAATAATAAATAATAATAATAATAATAATAATAATAATAATAATAATAATAATAATAATAATGATAATATTATTATTATTATTATTATTATTATTATTATTATTATTATTATTATTATTATTATTATTATTATTATTGTTATTATTATTATTATTATTATTATTATTATTATTATTATTATTATTATTATTATTATTATTATTATTGCTCAGTATATAATTATTCTTCGACAGGTGTTGGTGCGATGCATTCCACAGCAGCAGCTGTGGTGACAGCAGGTGTTCACCAGTGAGGTGAAGCTGAGTCCTGTGGCAAGCAGAGTGCTGTGGCAAGCAGAGTGCTGTGGCAAGCAGAGTGCTGTGGCAAGCAGAGTGCTGTGGCAAGCAGAGTGCTGTGGCAATCAGAGTGCTGTGGCAAGCAGTGTGCTGTGGCAAGCAGAGTGCTGTGGCAAGCAGTGTCCTGTGACAAGCAGTGTGCTGTGGCAAGCAGAGTGCTGTGACAAGCAGTGTGCTGTGGCAAGCAGAGTGCTGTGGCAAGCAGAGTGCTGTGGCAAGCAGTGTCCTGTGACAAGCAGAGTGCTGTGGCAAGCAGAGTGCTGTGACAAGCAGTGTGCTGTGGCAAGCAGAGTGCTGTGGCAAGCAGAGTGCTGTGGCAAGCAGAGTGCTGTGGCAAGCAGAGTGCTGTGGCAAGCAGAGTGCTGTGGCAAGCAGTGTCCTGTGACAAGCAGAGTGTTGTAGCAAGCAGAGTGCTGTGGCAAGCAGTGTCCTGTGGCAAGCAGTGTCCTGTGGCAAGCAGTGTCCTGTGGCAAGCTGTGCTGGGTACGCTCTCTTAACTTTAAACAGGAACGGTAAGAATATCATTGAGAGAGTTAACGGTATTCAACGGAAAAAAACAGTGTACTGGTGCAGTGTCTGTCTTTACAATGTCTAAAAAATTCAAAGGATACAGAAATGAATCCAACAGGTGGATAATGTATCAGATGATACATCACTAGAGTAACAGTAACAACAGGACTCTATGGAAGAAGGTAACAGATAAACGAGAAATGTGACGCAAGGCAACAGAACAACGGGGATGTGAAGCATTTTTCTCTGAAAAGTAATGCAGAAGAGAAAAGGGAAATAGCAAGAAAAGAGTCAAAGAAAAATATAGAAAATAAAAAAACTTTAAAAATAAGAGGAGACAGCTAGTGTCAGGACAGGTGAGGAGACAACCAGTGTCGGGAGAGGTGAGGAGACAGCCAGCGTCAGGATAGGTGAGGAGACAGCCAGTGTCAGGGGACGTGAGGAAACAGCCAGTGTCAGGAGAGGTGAGGAGACAGCCAGTGTCAGGGGACGTGAGGAAACAGCCAGTGTCAGGGGGAGGTGAGGAGACAGCCAGTGTCAGGGGACGTGAGGAAACAGCCAGTGTCAGGGGGAGGTGAGGAAACAGCCAGTGTCAGGGGGAGGTGAGGAGACAGCCAGTGTCAGGAGAGGTGAGGAGACAGCCAGTGTCAGGATAGGTGAGGAGACAGCCAGTGTCAGGAGAGGTGAGGAGACAGCCAGTGTCAGGATAGGTGAGGAGACAGCCGGTGTCAGGAGACGTGAGGAGACAGCAAGTGTCAGGAGAGGTGAGGAAACAGCCAGTGTCAGGAGAGGTGAAGAGACAGCCAGTGTCAGGAGAGGTGAGGAGACAGCCAGTGTCAGGAGAGGTGAGGAGACAACCAGTGTCAGAAGAGGTCAGGAGACAGCCAGTGTCAGGAGAGGTCAGGAGACAGCCAGTGTCAGGAGAGGTCAGGAGACAGCCAGTGTCAGGAGACGTCAGGAGACAGCCAGTGTCAGGAGACGTGAGGAGACAGCCAGTGTCAGGAGACGTGAGGAGACAGCCAGTGTCAGGAGACGTGAGGAGACAGTCAGTGTCAGGAGAGGTGAGGAGACAGCCAGTGTCAGGAGAGGTGAGGAGACAGCCAGTGTCAGGAGAGGTGAGGAGACAGCCAGTGTCAGGAGACGTGAGGAGACAGTCAGTGTCAGGAGAGGTGAGGAGACAGCCAGTGTCAGGAGAGGTGAGGAAACAGCCAGTGTCAGGAGTGGTGAGGAGACAGCCAGTGTCAGGGGACGTGAGGAGACAGCCAGTGTCAGGGGACGTGAGGAGACAGCCAGTGTCAGGAGAGGTGAGGAAACAGACTGTGTCAGAAGAGGTCAGGAGCCAGCCACTACACTTCTAATGCTACAGTGTCAGTGTTACCACAGTAGTGCACAGTGTAAGAGTATCACCGTTGCCACAGTAGTGCCCAGTGTAAGAGTATCACCGTTGCCACAGTAGTGCACAGTGTAAGAGTATCACCGTTGCCACAGTAGTGCACAGTGTAAGAGTATCACCGTTGCCACAGTAGTGCACAGTGTAACAGTGAAACAACAGTGTTCTGAAGCCTCAGATACTAAAACCCAACGAATCATCTCTCTAACAGAATAATACAAGAAATTAAACAGCTCAGTATTAACCCCCATGATAAAGTTAATCTACAAAGGAACAACAACTAGAAATTCTTGAACCCCAATATATTGCTTCCCGAAAAACAAAAACAAAATAAAGTTTATAACTATTACGACCCTCGGTAATAAAAAAACAACTCTATGTTTTTTTAACTTAAACGTCGATAATTAAAACGCGATTCTTTGTGTATGTTTTTTTCAAAGCTAGATAATTGTTGTAATCCGTGCCAGGCTCGAGTTACATTAACATTATTTTGAAACGAAGATAACATGGTTATTATCCAGGTATGATAACGAGATCTGGCGAGATTTATTTGCCTCAGATTTAATACAAACCGACAAAAATATCTTCCAAACACAAGTGTGTGGGGGAAAAAAACGGATTTTATTATACCATTGCAAGAGTGTTTCTTAACTGATTTAA